TGACAGAGACAGACCAGCACAACCTGCCACTACTGACAGAGACAGACCAGCACAACCTGCCACTACTGACAGAGACAGACCAGCACAACCTGCCACTACTGACAGAGACAGACCAGCACAACCTGCCACTACTGACAGAGACAGACCAGCACAACCTGCCACTACTGACAGAGACAGACCAGCACAACCTGCCACTACTGACAGAGACAGACCAGCACAACCTGCCACTACTGACAGAGACAGACCAGCACAACCTGCCACTACTGACAGAGACAGACCAGCACAACCTGCCACTACTGACAGAGACAGACCAGCACAACCTGCCACTACTGACAGAGACAGACCGGCACAACCTGCCAGTACTGACAGAGACAGACCAGCACAACCTGCCACTACTGACAGAAACAGACCGGCACAACCTGCCACTACTGACAGAGACAGACCGGCACAACCTGCCACTACTGACAGAGACAGACCGGCACAACCTGCCACTACTGACAGAGACAGACCAGCACAACCTGCCACTACTGACAGAAACAGACCAGCACAACCTGCCACTACTGACAGAGACAGACCAGCACAACCTGCCACTACTGACAGAGACAGACCAGCACAACCTGCCACTACTGAGGGAGACAGACCAGCACAACCTGCCACTACTGACAGAAACAGACCAGCGCGGTTCACTCACATACGGTCAGCGCGGTTCACTCACACATACGGTCAGCGCGGTTCACTCACACATACGGTCATCACGGTTCACTCACATACGGTCAGCGCGGTTCACTCACATACGGTCAGCGCGGTTCACTCACACATACGGTCAGACTCAGCGCGGTTCACTCAGACATACGGTCAGCACGGTTCACTCACATACGGTCAGCGCGGTTCACTCACACATACGGTCAGCGCGGTTCACTCACATACGGTCAGACTCAGCGCGGTTTACTCACATATGTCCCTGGGGCACGGTCAAGTTGAGATTGCTCAGGACCTTCAGTTTCCCGTACGACCGGCAAACTTCCCGACACTGGATCGCCGAAGCCTCCTCTTCCTGGTTGGCGGGATGTGCTTCCAGGTCGGCCTTCATCGTTTCTTCTTCTGACTGAAATAGACGAAAAAGAAGGTAAATATGTGTTTTGCCAGGGTCAAATGCAGTCCACTACATAGGGAATATGGTGCAATTTGGGATGCAGATCTGCTTATTGTCAGGTGTCATCTATGACCCGGTCACATGTCAAACGCTCCCAACACATTCAGATGTGGGTTGGTTTTCCTCATTGGCACCAGGGCCTCCTTTTCCCGACTTCCCCCGTTTCAGTCTCTTTCTACATATTGGCTTTCCCATTCTGTTAATCCGGCATCTTTCATTCCACCATTGGAAGATTAGAGGGAAATCACTGTGTAAGCTGAACTCATTTGAAGAAGCTTACTTTTGACAACACCACATGATAGCATAAGCACAAACAGGAACTATTGTTGTAACCCAGTAGTAGGGAATTATTTCACTGTTATAACATTTTTATACTGTATCGAAAATTACATATGGTTATTCTTAGGCGTTTATTTGTTTGTTTCTGCGTGGGAAAAAAATCACAGTAGGATATTTTTAACATACTATATTGAATACTATTACCCCAGATGTTGACTGAATCACACAGAGTAAAGGCCTGTACCTCGGTTTGAAGCAAAAATTTAAATTCAACAATATTGTAAAACAAATAGCTGACAAGAAACACTATGTGAAACACAATCTAAAACACAATGTCAAACATTATATGAAACAAAACTGCAACCCTATGTGAAGCGATGAGAAGAGGGAGAACCAAGAAGAAATGGGTAGAGACGGAAAAAGCTTGACAAAGATGGAGAGGAAGAGAGAAGGGAGAGTGGGTGAGAGTGGGTGAGGAACAACCAAACTCAGCTAACAATGTGATGTTTGTGAAGCCAGTTACCTGTCAAAAGTCAGACACCACAGAGAAGAAGCACTGGACCGACTGGAATCTGAGTAATGTAACAGAACGTTCCAGTACAGTTTGAACCAATTAACTTGAAGAAAGACACGTTGGAAGAGCCTGGATCACCAACCAACCAATCAACCTGGACGCTTCACACAAATAGAAAGTGACATTCCTTTTCTTCAGAGTGAACCAAGGTAGAAGAGAGGTCTCCATCCTCATGTTGACATCGTTTCCAAGCGCAAAGAACTCTTCGTCAGGGGCAATAAGACCAACGAGTCTGTTTAAGATGAGACTTTTTCTCTAGATTTTTTAACATATTAAAACGCAGCTGCAGAAGTGCAAGTTATCTTGACGATAACTGGAGTCACACTATTCACTATGAGTATAATAGGAAGTAATACATTTAATATCATACGCTCAGTTCCTGTTTTTATAACAAGGCCCCGTGTTGATTGTGAGATGGGATGTGAGACAGAACAGCACACAGGATGGAGTAGAGGAGTGATGGAGAGGAGGAAACAGGAGGAAGGAGAGGGAGACCACCACCGTGGATAAAGAAGACACCACAACCACATGTTGAATGGATTAACCTTCTGATCGACATGTTTATGGTTTAATATTGCCATAAATATCAACCAGTTATGGTTGAACCAATTATTAAATTCAGTTATAATGAGATGTGTCGACAACAAAACAAGCTCTTAACTTGTAAATTGGCCAGTCAAAACACCCCCACGTGTCTTATTGGTTAAATATTTGCCAACAGTATCTTACTAGTGAACATACCTAACTAACCTAATATGTTTTATATTGATCTATACATCCAGGCGAGTAGGAGAGCAGTAATGGAGAAAATTTGCGTTTAGTCGTTTTTAGGTAGAGCCCGCGGGTAATTGAACAGCATCTAGGCAACTACCAATTAGATCTGGCAACCTGAGTGAACACACCCGGGTCTATAAGAAGAACTAACAGAAAGGAAACCTCATGGGTCGATCAGCTGACAGGTCCATGACAAGTTCGGGTAGAGTGAAGTGTCAGAACAGGTTGGGTCTGGACTGGAGATGGGCTTTATTTAATGCATATGGACCCACTAATATGCAACACCAGCAAGCCTACTAATAAACTGCATAGCAAAACAATAATTCATACTTATATTCAGTGCGTCAACCAAAATCTACATGATTACCTGTAGACGAGTGTATCAACACCTCCCGATCAAATACAGAGAATTAACACTTTAGATCTCCCTATTATATTTTACGGAGAAATCGAGTGCCCATCCTGCTGGTGTCTCACAGAACATGAGGAGGGAATAAATGGGTCGAACCAGGTCGGCTGGGACTAGAGCGCACACTTGGTTCATGAATGACCCCTGATATGGTATTTATTGGTGCCTGGTTATATTAATAATCTGACCGGTTGGTTACATACCGGTATGGCCAGATGCAACGCTCATTTATGCATTTTATTTTTTCGGCTAAATGCGTCACACCGCAATGTGCATCAAACCTAAACCATCCTTTGCATCGAGGATAATATTTGATACAATTCTTTGCATCAACAACACATTGTAGGGTAGCACAAATCAAATTAATTTCTCCCCAAGCTGATAGTATGTAATGCGTTTGTGCAATTCATTACAGACCTGTATGATGTGTTATCAATTGATACTCGATTGAATAATTCAGCAGAAGCCAATTAGATCACAACCAATGCATTTTAATTTCCTGTATGAAATATATCCTCCTCAATAACGCCACCCAGGTCGGGGTGCTCCACTTACCCGCTCCTCCATCTCAGTGCTTTCGGTCGGTCCTTCCCCCGCTCCCTCAGTGGCCATGGTCGCATGGAAGAGATGCATTCAGCCTAAAACCAATAGCACCGTTTAGAAAACTGTTAATAGGCTAATGTCGCCCTCTGATGTCCGTGAAGGGAATGGCACTTACAAAAAGCTGTAAGGAAACTGTTAATAGGCTAATGTCGCCCTCTTGTGGCCGTGAAGGGCATGGCGCTTACAAAAAGCTGAAAGCAAACAGTTAATAGGCCACTGTCGCCCTCTGGTGGCCGTGAAGTGAATGACACTTACAAAAAGCTGTAAGCAAACTGTTAATAGGCTAATGTCGCCCTCTGGTGTCCGTGAAGGGAATGGTGCTTACAAAAAGCTGTAAGCAAACTGTTAATAGGCTAATGTCGCTCTCTTGTGGTCGTGAAGGGAATGACACCTACAAAAAGCTGTAAGCAAACTGTTAATAGGCCACTGTCGCCCTTTGGTGGCTATGAAGGGAATGGCACTTACAAAAAGCTGTAAGCATTATTTACCTTATTGAGTCAGACTGAGACATGTGAATATTTTACAGCTAAGCAACGTGTTAAAGCAATAACCAGAAAACGAATATAAATATTTTAACACAATTGGTATATTAAACACATGTACACTGAACAACATAAATGTCACTTCTCAGGAACTGAAATTGCCATCGGGTCGTAGTTCACATCAGTAGCCGATACAAACAATATCAGAAACAATATGAAAACGTTCATATACAGTACTGTTCAAAAGTTTGGGGTCATTTAGATATCTCTGTTTTTTAAAGTATAGCAAACATTTTTTGTCAATTGATCAGAAATACACTGTAAACATTGTTAATATCGTAAACGACATGTCGTAAATGAGAAACAAAACATACATTATATACTTATCAGAATGGCACTCTGAGAAAGTGACTGTAAACCTGTGTTGACTTTAATCCCCTGTTTTCACAAAACATACAAGTCTAACGCATGAAACACATGAAACAACATAATAATAATTTCACCCATGGCAACAGTCAGTTGGTACTCAACAAAACATAACACATCACTGACTTATGATGGGAGAACAGTGAAATCCAGATGTAAATCTAATTTTAGACAAGTTACGACAAACCGATAAACAACATAAAAAAGGTAATACAGAAACCACAGTAACATTTCAGTAAATAATCGGATGTTTTAACGACTTACAGTAACAGAGACATTTACTTCCAGACACTTGATGCTGGTTCCACGTGGGACTCGAACCCACAACCCTGGCGACATAAGCACCACTCTAACGACTAAGCAGCACAAGGCCCAGTGACACATCTGGATGCTAAAGCCCACAATAACAGTCTTTAGCCCAGAAAACACTCCTCAGACGACTATTTGCTCAAGCCCCTGTGAGTGGAGAGGTCTAGAGGCGCGAGTTGGAGCAGGAAGCTGAGTAGTTAGGTAGTAAGTAAAACGGAATAGTAACAGGGTGGAAGGTCAGGTACCCATACTCTGTTAAAGCAGTGTTTACTGACATAACCATCCATACAAGTGAAAGGGCCCTAGGCCTCTCCGTGAAGCCTGGGCCTCGCCTGGCGGCTCCCATCCCCGGTTCGAGGCACGTCCCCGGGGGCAGGTGACTTCGGTAGCTACATCCGTAGCTTGAGGATGACAATGGCCAGGATGACGAAGAAAGTGTTCCAGCCCATGGTGACCACGAAGCCTCTCCACACCATCATTCTGGACAGACCCCAACCTGAGGGAGAGAGCTGGTCAGATGGAGCGCCACTGGGAATTCTAACTGGGAATTCTAAAAACAACAGGAGTGTGATTTCATGATGAATCATTAGATGTTTTCAGTAATTTGAATACTATGAATTATATGTGTGTGTGAGTAAGTGTGTGTGTGTGTGTCTGTGTGTAAGAGTGTGTGTGTGTCTGTGTGTAAGAGTGTGTGTGTGTGTGTGTCTGTGTGTAAGAGTGTGTGTGTGTGTGAGTGTGTGTGTGTGTCTGTGAGTGTGTGGGGCTGTGTGTATGTGTGTGTGTGTGTGTGTGTTACCTCTGTACATGATACAACGGAGGGCTTCAGAGGCGTATGTCTGGGGAAGTGCCAGGCTGATGTAGCGTAGTGGATAAGGAATACACTCTACAGGCCAGATTATACCTGAGAGAGAAGAAGGAAAAGGGAGAGAACCAGGGAGAAACAGACAGAAGGAGAGACGGAGAGAGAGAAAACAAAAAGATGAAAAGAGAGGATGAAAAGAGGAGAGAGACAGACAGAGACAGTGTGAGAGAAAATGAGTGTAAGATGTGACAGAAAAAGTGAGTGATGGAGGGTGAGAGAGGTCATGTCAATCGTTTGTACAATATTTTCTTTCTTCCCTGTGTCAAAATGTGAATGAGAACAAAAAAATGTGCTGTCAAATAGACAAATAGATATTATTGCCACACGAGCAAAACACGTGGAATTTGATTATATAAAATGACAATGTTTGCCACATGACAAATGTTTATCGGAAAATATTTAGAAATGCTTATCTCATGGCGCCCCCTAGTGTCTTGGTAGGTGTGTAACGTACCACTGACAATGAGGTTGGGGTAAAAGATGCCCAGGGCTGCCTGGGTGGCGTTCTGTTCATCGTCGATGGCAGAGGAGATGACCAGGCCAAAGGAAGTTCCTGTTACGCCCTGTAGTACAATCAGAGCTATGACCAGAACCAGGTTCCCCTCATTAGGAATCTGAGGAGAAAGGTAGGGGAGGAGAACATGAAAGAGGAAGTGATGGAGCATGTGTGGGAAGGAAAAAGAGCAACAGCTAAATGTGAAAAATAGATTGACAGAAGAGCGTAGAAACACAAACACACACATTCCCTCCTTGAAGATCCCTAACAGTCAGGCTAACAGCAATTCCCCAAGCAGTTTCCTCTACCAGCCTGTTGAGTGTGTGTGTGTGTGTGTGTGTGTGTGTGTGTGCGTGTGTGTGTTACCTTGAAGACAAGCAGCATAATGAGAAGTAGTAGAAAGATCTGTACACTGATTATGATCAGCTGGGAGATGAGGTAAGCCAGCACAGTCTCCATGGAACTCACACCTAGAGAGGGAACATATGGTGGAACAGGGATAAAGTGGATGTGAAAACAATCTCCCCCTAGTGGTCGGGACAGGTCACTACACGAATGTTAAGAAATACACAGCAGATGGAAACTGACCCTGATAAAATCCGCTGCACTAAATATAGACTAGGATGCCATTTTGCGTTACAAACTTTGACCTCTAACCTGCGACCCAACACCTGTCCATCAACCCCTCTTTCCTCTCAATCACGAACGACAGAGCCGTTAAGCCCACGGCCAGGTAGAAGGTGATGCTATGGGGAGAGAGAGAACAGGCGACGAAGAGGGTGAGAGGAAGAGAAGAAAAATGATTGAATGATAGATGAGTAAAAAGAGAGGGTGAATCGTTTTGAGGAGTATAGAGAGGAATAAGTCAGAAAGGAAAGATAGAAAAGAACAAAAGAGAAACTCTAATATATAACATGCAAATGTTTAGGTTGTATATTGTGTAAGTAAAGTTGACTAGGGTCATTCCAGACATGGGAAGAAAGTTTACCTCAGAACGGCTCCCGGTGTTACAAACGTGGTGAAGTCTGAGTTCAAGCTGCCATAGATGGGTTCCTCAAACTGTGAAAATGACAAAAAGCACAATGGTGAGAAAAAAGCTATTTGAAAAGGATTACACAGGGTTACACAAAGGAAAAGTTTTTTCCCTGTGCACAATACTTTAAGTTCTTAATACTTCATATACATTTTTGTCCTTTCTTTTATCTCCACTTCTTTCACATGCATCTCACACAATGAGCTCTTATTGACCTACCTTGAGAGGAAGGGAGACCAGGTAGGACTTGGTGCCGGTCTTATGCCGGACAAAGTCCTGATGAGGGAACAGAGAACCAGAAACCATTACACAGATCGAACATCCTGCAAATGCCATGTCTCTAAACAGAATGCAGTGTCTCTAAACAGAATGCAGTGTCTCTAAACAGAATGCAGTGTCTTTAAACAGAATGCAGTGTCTCTAAACAGAATGCAGTGTCTCTAAACAGAATGCAGTGTCTCTAAACAGAATGCAGTGTCTCTAAACAGAATGCAGTGCCTCTAAACAGAATGCAGTGTCTCTAAACAGAATGCAGTGTCTTTAAACAGAATGCAGTGTCTCTAAACAGAATGCAGTGTCTCTAAACAGAATGCAGTGTCTTTAAACAGAATGCAGTGTCTTTAAACAGAATGCAGTGTCTCTAAACAGAATGCAGTGTCTCTAAACAGAATGCAGTGCCTCTAAACAGAATGCAGTGTCTCTAAACAGAATGCAGTGTCTCTAAACAGAATGCAGTGTCTCTAAACAGAATGCAGTGCCTCTAAACAGAATGCAGTGCCTCTAAACAGAATGCAGTGTCTCTAAACAGAATGCAGTGTCTCTAAACAGAATGCAGTGCCTCTAAACAGAATGCAGTGTCTCTAAACAGAATGCAGTGTCTCTAAACAGAATGCAGTGTCTCTAAACAGAATGCAGTGTCTCTAAACAGAATGCAGTGTCTCTAAACAGAATGCAGTGTCTCTAAACAGAATGCAGTGTCTCTAAACAGAATGCAGTGTCTCTAAACAGAATGCAGTGTCTCTAAACAGAATGCAGTGTCTCTAAACAGAATGCAGTGTCTCTAAACAGAATGCAGTATTATGTGAAGTAATAACTAGTGTACTCTGGGGTACCTGAAAAGCATCTTCCATTTTCTTCTGAAGCATTAAGGCGATTTGTCGATCTGTAGAAAATAAACGGGAAGGGGATTGTAATGACTGTCAAAATGTAAAATGTCAGCAGATGAGAAAGGTTTTGATAAATTTGATCGCCTTGAACATTAATGTTGAATAAAAACAACATGCAGTTAAGGCTTTAATCAGAATCAGAATTTACCACAGTCTGATGATCTTTAATTGAACTTACTGGTGAGATCTAACCACACGTGCACTGACCCAGCATCTACTGTCTCCTTGGAGACCTGGCGCAGAAGCATCCTGTTCAATTAAAAACACACCACACGTTAAACAATATATAAACAAGCGTCACGGTGTGAGCGTGCATGTGTGTAGAACATAACTGAACAGATTGGACCAACCTGGACCTGTACAGAACCGTAGAACGATGCCCGGATGAGGCTGGACGCGAGGGGACTCACCTCTTTGTCAGACTGCTGGTGAAATTCGGACCAAACTCAATGACCCCCCAGTACTCCCCGTTGTAGGCCCCTGCAAAAGCCTCGCCGTGGGTCAGGTTAACCTGGGGTACAAAGGGTCAAAGTTCACAGTGATAATTAATATTTACTCATGAACTACCTTTTCCTCCAATTAGTGCAGTACTTCATTGGAGGAACACTGCGATATTCAAATACACTGTACCTGTTGTACGCTGGAGTTGTCCAGGAAGGAGAGCAGTGATTGGCTATAGGAGTTAGAGGTGGTCTCGTTGTTGACCACAGCCACCTGTATTCCTTTGGGGTCTCCTCCGATACAGAGACACATGAGGGAGATCTGCATGACCGGCAGCAGAAACTGGAAAAACAGGGACCTGAAAAGATACACAACGCGATGCCAGGTAAAAATCACCGGAATTCCACGATATTCCACAGGATCTGGTTGGATGCTTCCTGGATAAACATCATAATTGTCCTGTCTCGTCGCTTCAGCTAAGCCTACCCTTAACTTATCTTCATCCATATCTTTTAGCTCAACATAACTGTCACCAGTGTGTTCAGTAACATCATCATGACAGTAAATGTCACCAGTGTGTTCAGTAACATCATCATGACAGTAAATGTCACCAGTGTGTTCAGTAACATCATCATGACAGTAACTGTCACCAGTGTGTTCAGTAACATCATCATGACAGTAAATGTCACCAGTGTGTTCAGTAACATCATCATGACAGTAACTGTCACCAGTGTGTTCAGTAACATCATCATGACAGTAAATGTCACCAGTGTGTTCAGTAACATCATCATGACAGTAAATGTCACCAGTGTGTTCAGTAACATCATCATGACAGTAACTGTCACCAGTGTGTTCAGTAACATCATCATGACAGTAACTGTCACCAGTGTGTTCAGTAACATCATCATGACAGTAACTGTCACCAGTGTGTTCAGTAACATCATCATGACAGTAAATGTCACCAGTGTGTTCAGTAACATCATCATGACAGTAAATGTCACCAGTGTGTTCAGTAACATCATCATGACAGTAAATGTCACCAGTGTGTTCAGTAACATCA